TACTGATTTTTGTGTCAAAAATTCACACTTTTACTAACGTTAGTTATTGCAACTGTGATATTGCACATATTTGCGGTTCTTGGTTTTTTACAATTCCGTAATTATGTACTTTGTACGAATATGCGTAAGTTTCGTCGATCTATGTCATACTACATAGATTTAAGGCATGAATGGATGGATACGTCGTGTTTTAAATCAGATTTTAGATAATGTTTAGCTTTAGTTATGTATATATAAGTATATTATTAATGAATTTACTTAATCTTAATCTAGCGCATGATATAAAGTTTAAAAGCGTAAGTAGATAAAGTGTCATAGGATGATATTTGTATTAATGATTTATGTAAATTAATTGATTAGATAACTTATTTGCACGGTTTAAAATTAATTTGAAAATGGAAAATTTCATAAATAAAATGTATAACAAAGAGGAGTTATATTTATCTAGTAGAATAATTAAACATTCTCAAGAGCTTATTTTAGAAGTAATTATTTCGATATTTATCACAATAGCAATATATAAAGTTTAATTGTAAAAATATTCAATTTAAAAGCAATAATTTAGTGATAATTAAGATAATATTTATCGTATATTTTGTGTGTTAATTCAAACTAATGAAAATTGAAATTATAATTTATGGATGGATTTTTTTATGACTGTTTAAATTTATGGCCATTCTTTCAATCGAGCAGTTTTTGTTGCACATTCTTCGATACGATTAAATTCGGTATAAAGTGCGGGAGATAAATGCATGTTTAATATAGACTCATTAAATGGCTGTAAAAATAGTAAGTCATCCAATCTTTGAGCCCGAGAAAGCATCACGTATATTCCATTATTCATACTGCAGTTTTTAAGATCAATTATTACTTTTTGGAGAGTTTGACCTTGGCATTTATAATCAGTAAATGCAAATGCAGGGGTTAGTGGAAGTTGGAAGCGCTGAAATCTCATTTGAGTTTTTGATCCATCACATTTCCAAATTGTACGTACACAACTACGTTTAACTGGGTAGATAGGTACATGATTAGGTGGAAGATCCTGATAAGAGCCAGGTGCTTTACCAATTAATTCAACGATAACATACTTTGGAGAAGTTTTTAGTACAATTGTTTTTGGATTAGTTGATGAAGGATCAATAAAATCTTTATCGTAAATAATTTGTCGAAGGATTCCCTGAGAACCATTTGCTAAGCAGTCATTTGCACAAATATTAATTGTTATACTGACTTTCATGTTAATTGATAATGGTAGAATACCACACAGTGAGTTTTCTTTTGTATCAGGCGTTGACAAAAATTTAAGGCGGTTGCATCCGGTAAGAATTGTTCTATTATACGAATCTTGAGCACAGGAATATACAAGTGGTTGGTTATTATAAAGAGCATGCTCTATTGTTGCATTAAAATTAAGTTGAATTCGGAGGTCATTTCTTGTAACAAGAAAAGTAGCATCCTTCCATTCCCGGGAGTTAATTCGATTATCGCTAAGGATTCTTGAACGTAAAGCAGATTTTTGTGTTTCTGTAAGATTCCCCTTACGCATATTCTCGAGGATGTTAGCATATAAAGGGTCATCTAATTGTCGCATTGGTTTTTTTAGAATTATAACATGGTTAATAGTTAACCAAAGATTCCTTCCTGTAATATTACCGATTGATTGGTTGTTAACTGAAGATTTATGTTTTGGGCGTTTTAAAGAGTGTTGGTTATTAGTTGTTGAAGGTGTATTGAGTTGAGAAGAAATATTACTAAGATTGTCAGGCATATATAGTGCAGGATCTAAAACTGGAGGTAATTGCATAAAATCACCAACAAACAAGATATTTATTCCTGCAAAGGGTCTAGGGTCATCAGTTGCTTTTACTTTTTTCAAGAAGGTATGAAATTTAGTGAGCAGTTTCTGTCCGACCATAGATATTTCATCCACAATAAGATATTCTATTTTATACCAAAATTCCTGGAGCTGTTGTAGCATTTCATCAGATAAGTTATGTTTGTTTTTATGGAATTCACCAAAACCAAATCCACATACAGAATGAAGAGTACATCCATCAATATTTGCGGCAGCAATCCCAGTTGGAGCTAATACAAGAAGAGTATCATATAGGGAGTTGTATTTAAAATAAGAGCAGATAGCCTCTATGACTTTAGATTTACCAGTACCACCAGCACCAGCAAGATAGAGTAGCAATTGAGATAGTTTGTTCTTATTTAATGGATTATTTCTTTGACGATGATCACATACAAGGAAATAAGCTTTTTTTTGCTCATCGTTTAGACCAGATGCGAACTTTTCTAGAGAATCATCAATTTGGTTTGTATGAATATCTAAAGACAGGTTATTATTATGAGAGTAATTAGTGTAGATATTCGGTGGAATAATATCTTCCAGATCATTAACTTTATCTTTCCAAGGCATTTTTCGAGAGGTAATAGTTGTTTGCCAATTTTTTAGAAGTTCATTATTATAAACGTCACTCTGGCGTATATTTTTTAATTCATGATCATGTGCAGTAAAAAAATCCATTAAAGATGTAGAGTTTGATGTACGAAATCTTCCACGAAGCCGTAAAATGTTTATAGTATTATCAACCATCTTTATATCTTTTAGACCAGATCTGACGATTTTTAATGGGTCGAATTCAAAGGAGCCATTGTCAAAAGAATCATTTAATTGATCATCATCCAAGAAGTCAGGTTCATCATCAGCATCATACCCAGGGACAGAACGATCAATGCGACATGCTTTGGCAAAAATAGGGTCTTTCAATGCATTTTTACGTAGCTCTCGGTCTAGAGTAGATTCTTCTGAGCATCTATTTAACAATTCTATATTGGAAATTATATTTTTCAAACGAAGTGATAAAGATGAATTATTTAAAAAAGATCTGCACGCATCATTCCATGTATTATAATTATCTCGCAAGTCTAGAACAGTTGTCCATGGTTTAAATAGCATAAGAATACATAAGCTATAACGTTCTGCATTCTCTATATCATCTTTATTTGGTATTCCTTTACCACTCAACATGACTATTCTTTCAGTTCCTTTATTTCTAAGTCTTTGAAGATGACTTTTGTTTTGAGGATAAACATTATCAGATTCATGAACATGGTTATTAGTAAAGTTATTTCCATGAAAAAAAAAGCGATAATTTCCTTCTCTCAAACATTGACCTGATAGCATTGAAAGTTCATGCGAGTTAATTGGAATTTTTCTAATAGTAGCAGCATAATCATACAAGCATATATTGCGTAAAGATATGCCTCGGTATTGATAATCAATACGAAGATTAGCAGTTGTTAGTTTGCCATTAAAAGAAGAAATAAGAAATGATTCATCTGCTGTCTCTTGGTCTTCTTGGTCACTATCCGTAGTTAAATCATCACTAAAATTATCAATATCTTCAGCATACTTTCTCCATTCTTTTGTTAAATATGCTTCAAAAGATTGAAGATATATCGTAACGAATTTGTTTGGTGTGTAATGATCACTAATGCCTAATAAGTATGCTGAAACTTGCGGACTAGTAAGTTCCGCTTGACCAGATATTTTGTTTAGACATTTAGTTATAAGTTTGCGAGATTTATCTATAAGATCATAAGAGTTTTTATTTGAAGGTTGAGTTAAGAAAGATTCCAAAGTTGAAGCACATAATAAAAAAGAGCTATGTGTGCTTATATCTGACTTAGTAATATAGTCAGTTATATAATAAATATAAGCTAAAGCTAGTTTACGAGATGCGATAAATTTAATATCATTATTTCCTCTACATGATACTGTTATGTATGGATTATGATTGTTGATAAATGCATTAGAGCGCTGAATAGCAATAATACCTTGTTTAGGAAGGACCATACCAGGAGGATTTACAAGTTCTCTTGGAAAATCGAATCTACATTTTTTTTGCAGGCCTCTATTATATTTCTTACATGTTTGAGTACAGTGATGATATAAGGTGCGCTTTGTAATTGCAAGAAGATCTAAACGGAATTTTTCATCATAATCAGGTAAATTAGGATCAGGAATAGGAAAAAAAGAAGGATGCATTCGTTTTTCTTCTATTGTTTTTGGAGTCTTATGCTCTTTTTCGAGCATTTCATCAGTTAAAATATCGTTTTCTTTAAGAAGATAACTGATATCTTCTTTAACTATATCACTTACATATGCAAGTAAGCGTTGGCAAAATGACTCATCATTTTTAAGTCTTTGACGTAGCTCAATTGGATTAGGTGAACCATAAAGCCATACAAGTAGATGACAATGAGGTGTTCCACGATCCTGATATTCGACGACACCATAATAATTTTTAATAGTACCAAAAACGCCACCTTTTTTATTTCCATAACCAATAATAGTATCTAAAATACATTTTACTATAATATCGAAATATTTAGCAACAGCTGAAGGATCAAGATATGCTAGTCGAGCTCTTTCTGTAGCTTTTGGAAAATTCTCAGGCAATAGATTTTCAAGAGTAATTTCATTTCCAGCATACATCATAACGATAGGACTATGAAGGTCCGCAGGATTTATAGTAATAAATAGTGAAGGAGATCCATCACGTATTATAACAGCACGTATTTCATTTCGCATACGAGCACGTGATTGATGTGATGCCATTAAATTGGAGCCGGCTATATTAATATTTTTGAGTAGCTCAACAATTGAAGGATTTGTTAAAGGGAGTTTTTTATTCACTTGTTCGATAGCTATTTTTATATCATCAAGTGAAAGTCTGGATATTAGTCCAGCTGATTGTTCAAAATTTATATTTCTTGTCAGGTTATAGGATTCAGTTGATACTTCACGTCGTTGTAAAATATCGAAAATAACAAAAGGAAAAGATCTATGTTGTCTAAATTTAGGGTCACGAAGTTTCATAAGATGATTAGCATATTTTTTTAAAGTTATATGAGACAACTGGCCTTCATGTCCTCCAACACCATATGGATAAAGAACAGGAAATGCGGCAGGAAAAAGCGTCGTGTCTTCATATTCATTGAAAGGTTTGCGACCATGTGGGACATATATTAATTGCGGGTGCATATTATCAGATTTATTCGATTGTTGGTTACCAGATTGGTGGTTTATACTGTCTACAAGTTTTTGAAACGAAAGTAGTGTAAGCTCTTTTTTACTAATAGGTACATCATCAACATGCAAGATTCCCGAAGGTCTAAGTTCACTTGCACTACCGATTGAATTATTATTTATAAAATTAATTGAATCATAGTTATTATCATGAGAATTTTCTTCTTCTTCACTTTCACTATCTAATTCTTGGTCATTTAATGAAAATTCATGAGCGTATCCAGTATAATGCTCAGTTTCTTTAGAATCCATGTTCACAACAGTAGTTGTTAAAGCTAGAGGATCGGGTATTTCTCCTTCAGGTAAAAGATTTAAAGCATTTTTATCAAAAGTAAAATTATTTTTAAATAATTTGTTATGAGTGAAGAGCCATTGAAGTGCAGCCGTAACCTTGCTTTTACGGACTTGAAGTATTTTTTTAAGCTGGTGATTAGTGGGTGCACCTTCACCAATAAATACAACTTTAAGATACTCACAAAGTTTGTAAATTGGTAGTGGTAGTATTTTTATCAGAGATCCCGGATTCTGAGGTAATGTTATGACATGTCCTTTTAGTTTATGATGTGTATGTTTTCTCTTGGTTAATTGAATAAGATTCATTGATAGGTATCCAGGCGAAATTAAGAGTTGCTCTGGGATCGTTAGATCTTGAAGACACGTCGGCGTTGACCCAATCCACATATTATTTGCTAATGATAATGGAGGGATCTTATGTTTTTGTAAGTATGTAAAACATTCATTACAAATACGTAAGTCGAAAGGATTGTTGCGATTTTCAGGATTATTATAAATAAATCCAGAACGATCGAGAAGAAGGTTGATTTTAGTAGCATTAATGTATGGATGTTGGTAATCAAAATCAATTTCAAATGAAGGATCGGTAAGATTGATTGGTGCTTCGAGAATAGAGAATTCAATATCTTTTACTGAAATTCTTTTATAGTTTTTGTAGTCATTAAAACCTGAGCAAATAGCGCACGGGAGTTCACGAAGTTCATTAAGATCAACTTTACTACGGAATTTAGCTAAGGCATCTTTCTTTATTTCTGAATTGACTTGTTGAGGCCATGCTGTGTTTTGAATAAGCATTTTTTCGAATTCATTATCTAATTTAAGAACATGTAACGGTATATCAGAATCGTTTGTATGATTATTATATTCAGTACGTTTAATAATTTTATGTCTTCGACGATTATTTCGCATTAAATTTGATGCTTGTACATATTCTTTATTTTGACGGAGATTGGTTACACGTTTCTTTAATTTTTCATTTTCAGAATTTCGAAATAGATTTTCGCTACGTTTAGCAGCTTTTCGGTTGCGGTCTTTCAATTTTCTAGATTCTCCTCTAGTTATGATATTAACCATGGTCTGTGATAGTGCACTGATTAGGCGATGAAATATTAAATTGGATCTTAGTAAGATTGTGTTCTGCTGAAATGTTTTGAAAAACTTATAAATGATATGGAATCAGATCGATTCTTTCTCAATTTCAAGGGAGTCCTTTTTATATTTTTGCATCAAGACACGTTTAGACTTAATTTAAATTTATATATAAGAAAACAATATAATAAGCGGATTACAATAGTGAAGGAACTCCTTAATTACTTTTCATATTACATTTTACCAAGTTTGTATTGGCCTATATAATTAGCATTAGCATTGTCATTCTTATTTTAGCAAAGTTCTAGATGCATCAAGCACATGTATAATCTTGCTGATACATTTTTCGTAAATATCTTGATTTATATGATTAATACTAATTTAGTAAAACTAAAATTCAAATACAGGTATTTTGGATTTAGTTAGATTTCTATGTTTGATATAATTTAAGTATAGGGTAATTTTAATTGTAGATGCGCCAAATTCAACCGGGTCTTTTCTTGATTGCTCTATTTAAGTATAGTGGGGGTTTTATTAAGTCAGGCTAGATTATACGCATATTTTTAAAACATAGCAGATCGATACGTGTTAATGGTGTTACTATCTAGGACGGGTCAATTTATTAATGAGATAATCTAAGTAATACAAGCAGAAGGTAATGCATATATGAGTGATGAGATTTAAGAAATGAACAATCATGAGTAAAAACGAGTGATTGTTGGATGAATTAAGGGTGATTGTGCATAAGAACATTTAATTTATACATACAACAATTTTTAAGAAGTGATATGTAATAATGAGATACAAGAGACAAAAATAAAGAGTAAAAACGAAGGATCGTTGGATGAATCCAGGTTAATTGTAATGTTAGATTAGAGATAAGGATGAGATTAGATGATTACACACAAGAGCAACTAATTTATATGGATAGTAATATTCAAAAGGTGAAATATAATAATGACTTTTTCAAATCAATATATAACATCATACTAATAAACAAAAAAACAATGAAACAATAAAAAAACGAATAGATAAAAAAAAAATAAATAAAAAAATAAATAATAAACCAAATAAATAAGAGATAAGAAAGTAAGACAGAGAAAAATAAATCAAACGAAATAAATAGAGTTTGATTGAAGAAAATCAAACTAAGTTTAAAGTTTTTGTAAGGCAGAAATCATGACTATAAATAAATGGTTTAATAACACAGATAGGGAATATTTCATTATAGCGCCATGAATAAATAACAATTACAAGATTAATGTGAAATCGAATAATAGGATGAAATAGTTTATTAAGGTTACGTCTGCACATCAAAACGATCATTTCAGATGATCAAAGCACGATGCGAAATATTTTAGTATTAATAACGAGTAAAAATATTACTGAGATAGAACTAAGTTTAGGATATATTACACAGTTCAAGCACGATTCCCCGAAAGTTATTTCGCAAATTTATTTCCTTGAAACTATAATGCTGACATGTTATTTCATCAATAGCACATTTTTTCGATAAGATATTGGGGTGTTTCACGCCAAATGACTTACTATCATAGTGCAGCACAATATGATTGGCACACTACAGGTTTTGCATAACAATTTCGGACATCTGAGCAATCGAATTCGGATATCTGAGCAATCAAATTCGGACATAGTAGCAATCAGATTCGGACGTAGTAGCAATCAGATTCGACGTAGTATCAATCAGATTCGGACGTAGTAGCAATCAGATTCGGACATCTTAGCAATCAAATTCGAACAGCGATATCTCGTGACCTAGTAATCCAAATCACGCTATGTTGGTACCATTCGACTCGACTTAACAAGACGAGTCGAATGATACCAAAATTATGCGATTCGGATCACTAGGTCACGAGATATCACTGTCCGAATTTGATTGCTAAGATGTCCGAATCTGATTGCTACTACGTCCGAATCTGATTGCTCAGGTGTCCGAATTCGATTGCTCAGATATCCGAAATTGGTGTGTTGCACTATGATAGTAAATTATTTAGCGTGAAACACCACAATAAGTTATGCATTCGAGATTACATATTGTAACCATCGTAAGGGAGAGCTTAGTACTTTCATTCCGAGGTTAACTCCGATGGTTGACGTTAGAAGAGTTACATGAATTGGACAATAAATTATGGTATTCGGATATTCATGATTTATTAGGCATTATAAAAAGAATGTGAATATATGTTATCTTTATTTTAGAGAGGAATTCAGAGGGTGTCTCTTCTCTCAATCAAGGATGAGAGCGAGCACTTATATACATGATGATTTTTTAGAGCGTGATTATAATAACCACAGCATACTCGCAGTAGCTTCCATGTATTCGTGATTGCATGAGTTAAACCTCTAACAATACATTATAATGCCTAATACTACTAAGGTAAGATTAACATGGCTATGATGGTACAATTATGGAAGGTGAGTAACGACTTAAAGAATTATACAAATACGGAAGTGAGGAGACACCGAAAATTAATCGTTACAATATTTTCAATAATATTTTCTTAGACAAGAAATTTCTCCTCTGACTTATAATTCTAACGAACACTGATTTTAAATTAGGTTAAGCCTAAAACTAAATCGGGCCAATCATATGTTGAGTAAATCATTGTTGAAGTAATGTATTAAAAAAACATCGTTAAGTAGATGCTTGTCTTATCGAAACCTTTATTATTATGACTTCGAGTTTGAACTTTAAAGGGAGTTATCTTTTTTTCGAATGAATTTTTTGGTTTTTTTATCAATTTATCTTAACTAATTAAATTATACTAATACTTTGGTTTATATATTTTATCAGCTTTAATTGTTTTTCCTAATTCGTCCTTTGCTACGTTGTCAAATATAATAGATTTGACTTCAATTTTTTATATTTATAGTACCAATTATACTATTGTGGTTACATCAGCAAATTATATAAACGTAATCTTACGTAAGATATTACGGCCCGTAATATTGCGCAAGAATTACGGTCTG